TTCGACTTCCTAATAGCAGATGGTAAGCTATTCCACAACGTAGCCGAAACCCTCCCAAAGCATCTGTTTCCGTAGGTCACAGTACGAGATTTTGGGACACACAACAAAGATTCTGACTCCGACCGCAGTGATCTTGACGGCTGATACAGGGTAACAAGTTCCTGTAGGTACTGAGGAGCTGTTCCATTCAGTGCCTTGTATGTGTATACCAGAATTTTGTACTGCGACCTGTATCGTACAGGTAACCAGTGCAACGAATAAAGCGCAGGTGTGATGTGCTCTCTCTTTCGAGTACGAGTAACTAGCCGTGCTGCAGTGTTCTGAACCCTCTGCAGACGACTAGTTAGTTTGTCAGATATACCACAGGGCAGGGCGTTACCATAATCTAACCGAGAGGTAACAAGTGAATGCACGAAAATCTTGCATGCATCTGCAGTTAGAAACTGCCGAATACAGCCGATGTTCCTGATCTGGTAGTAACAGGATTTGGCAATAGCGTTCACTTGTTTAGATAAAGGAATGTCTATCTGAAAACCATAGTAATCTATATAGAGCGGGAACCTAGATAAAGGAATGTCTGTCTGAAAACCATATTAATCTATCTGGAGCGGGAACCTAGATAAAGGAATGTCTGTCTGAAAACCATAGTAATCTATCTGGAGAGGGAACCTAGAGAAAAGAATGTCTATCTCAAAACCATAGTAATCTATCTGTAGCGGGAACCTAGAGAAAAGAATGTCTATCTGAAAACCATAGCAATCTATCTGGAGCGGGAACGTAGAAAATAGAACGATTAAAACTGGGTGCATAGTCCCACAATGACGACACAGATCAGCAATGCAATTTCTAGATCTATAACAACGACATATCTATTTATGCATGATTGCGGTCCGCGAGAAGGACAGAACTTGGAAGAGAAAAATGGTGCGACTTCCCATTCAGAGAAATCGCAACCAGGATGTCAATGCACGCCGACCATTTTTACTGTGTTATACTTTTCTTTATGTCATTTTATTAATCAGACGATTTAATTTAAAGATATGTATATTCAACTTGGATTGTGGGCTCCCCGCAAATCTACAAAGTCGTGTAACAGTGGCTGAGATATGACCTGGAAACCCCAGTCAGCACGAACGCACGTATGCACGTACAGACAGACAGACGAAGCGAAAACTATATAACTCGACATCGGTCGAAAAAGATTTGCAAAAGGTAGGTTATGTAGAAATATATCTGCTGAACTTACTTGATATAACGAGACATCTCGACGTATTTGTGCGTTCCGAATCTGTGTCTAACGTAAGGGAATTTCCTGGAGTCTGCGTTTATTAGCTCCTCCCAGATACTTCGTAAGCTGAAAATTATAGTAGAAGACAAATGAGTATCAAAGCGTCAACGCAGGAAAACAAAATCATTAGTCAGCAAGGCAACAACAGGAACGGTGTATGACCAGGACAAAAAGAACTCAGGAAACATTGACAAGCAGATTTGTAGAATGTATAGCCCCCGCTTTCTGGCAATGTCGTAGCTTTGGACCATTGTTGAGATTAAGTGCAGGCCTTATTGTGTGATGCACATTCTTAATAAACGGATCAATATACAAGTCAACCATTATAAGGGCAGGTAATGAATGGAAACCAATTAACCTATTAAATTCCGATAGCCTCATATAGTTTGCGTAAACATGCACATCAATCTTTTCATAACACTGACCACTTTGCATGTGTATTACTCAAAATTCGTTGAAATCTTACCTTTAGAGAAGTTTTTTAATTGAAATTAATTTATCAACCAATATTAATTAGCAACATTAGTTATGTGTAAATATGCATGCAATACTTCGGCGAGCCGACTTCGCCTTAAACATGAACATAGGTATGTGCATCCTATTCGGTTGGAAAAAAAACAATTCTTGGGGCTGATTTATTGTATATTTAACATTAGGGTAGGTGAATGCCTGTCAATTCTTATTAGTCTTCATTAGACACTAGGTTATGGGACCCACGGTTTAAGGTCCGGCTGGTCGTTCTGTTGTAGACTCTTTATGTAAGTCACCATATAGTGCTTCATGGATTTCATCTTCTCAGCGTGTATGAGTTCGTTGAGTTCCGCGGCTAAGTCACGATCGGGCTGCATAACAAGCCGTGCAAATATTGCTGAGCGTAGTGAGGGCGGACGATTCACATCGGCGAAAATAACAACAAGAGCGTCCTTCATCTCAAGGGTGAGGGCCATTTTATGCAATGCCTAGGTAAAAGATGAGAATAACATATAATTAATATGACAATAGTTCACTGGAAGTGAATGAGGATTCATCGGTATTTGACAAGAAACAGTTTCCCTCGCACTTGGTTTAACGTATACCAGATTTCATGTTACATGTTCCAGACCTTTAGACGAACAATCGTAGTCGTATACTTAATATTGTCTTTAATGTCATAATTTCACCGTTCGAAATACTTATATTACCTATAAAGGAAACTCACCAATATAGCTGACTTTGCGACCTTGTGAGGTAGGTCGATATTGTGAGCACATTGTAACAAGGCCTTGACTAGCCTCCGGTCCTCGGGTTGTCCATCCATCCCCGCGTACCTACTGTCGTACACGTACTGGACCGGCGCACCTATATTACCAAGAACCTGGGGGAAGAAATATAATTTCACGAAGGGCATATTATACACGTATTCCTTTGTGGTAGGGAAAATGGGGGCGATACTGTATCGATCCTTACCACAAGAACATTAAATATGTTATGTATTATTTAATGTTATTAATTATGCCAAAATAAAAACAATTATCCAATAGCAAAGATGATCAAGTAAGCGCGCTATTGTTGTCTGCTTCAGTCATTCGGAACTCTGTTGTCGTGAATCTTGCGTATTTTTTCATTAGAAACTCCGAGTAAACGAAATATAATCAGAGAAACGCGAGCGTGCGAGGTCGACATGATGATTTATTACCAAGTCATGTGATCAATATCATCCAAAGACACAAGCTATTATACAGAGTAGGTAAAATACTTATTGTTTAATTATACCAAGGTATGTATTTCGGACACAAATAGCAATGAATACGCCTGATCAAAAACAGAAAATTCAGTTCCTAAGGTGACCGAGAATCTCGGACCACAGAACTTAGAGAACTGGATCCTAGGAATGCAGACATTTTCAAAAGGCAAATGTAGAAACAGTAGAAAGCTTGCATTACAGCAATAACAGGGAATCACGAAAACATGAAGGTCATACGGGTGAGGTACTGAACAGTCATACCGGTAGGTAAGGAACTGACCGTCATACCGGAAATCAAGGTACTGACCGTCATACCGGAAATCAAGGTACTGACGGTCATACCGGTAAGGTACTGACCGTCATACGCGATATCAAGGTACTGGCAGGCATACCGGTTATTATGGTACTGAGTCATACAGATAAAGCATTGACAGTCATACATGTAAGGTATTGATATTCATACAGGTAATTAAGGTACTGACGGTCATTCAGGGAAGGTACTGACGGCAAAAAGGTGTGGTACTGACAGTCATACAGTTAAGGTACTGACGGTAAAATGCAGGTAATGTACTGACGCCATACAAGTAAGGTTCTAACGGTCATACAGGGTAGGTGGCTAATTATCACTACTATCCAGTTGTTCAATAATTGTGTTTCTTGGCCTTACTTTTATCATCTGAAGAAGTTCATCAATAGCATTCTGTTTCTCAGGAGGGGTTAAGGTCGATGAAATCCCATTGTGACACGTATCCCCCATTGTCTCACGGACGTGATGGAGAGTCCGATACACCGGTCCAGATTCCTGTAACAAACGAAAATATACATACGTGAAATGCGTCAATGAAATACACGGAAAAAGAAACGGAGCATTATAGAAATCCTCAAATGAATTCATATTCAAGTAAACGTTAGAAAAATTCGGTAGTGAACAAATAAATATCTCAAAGCAAGATACCTGGTTCATCTGAACATATCAAATGCATGTGTATACGGATTGATCTAAATTTCCTGCGTTAAGGCCCGGATTTAGATCTTTAATGAACATGTTCTATTTTAATTCTCTTTCAATAATGTCTGATGTATTCATTTGATAAATTGTTAAAACTAAAAACTGATCGTTTGAACACTCAATTTTGGTTTGTTGCCGATGGACTGACTTTCTTTAACATAGTTCATGTTTATCTGCAATTCGTATTACATCTCATTTCAAATGTTTTGGCATTCTTGAAAACAATCGAAATGCGTTCTAAATGTTAAACATCTCGGTTTCATACACTTTGTCACGCTGTATTTAACATTTATTTTGTCGTCAAGTTCAGACGCACATAGTCGACGTCTAAGATTCTTTGGTTGTCTTTTGCAATCATGTTCTTCTTCTCCAAGACACGTTTAATTTTTTTGCTATTCCTTGAAAAATCTAACTGAACTTTCATAAATTTGAAGCATGTTTCAATTGTTCGAGTTGAATGTTGTAACAAACGGTATCATATCATTTTTACTTGTATTGGCAATCTTTTGGTCGTTATCGGAAATCGGACTAGCTTATTCAATACCGTTAAATATAATTTCGTCCGGATAGCATTGTTTAACCGCTCCTCTAACTCAAATTAATCACTGACTATGGGTACTAATTTAGTTGACAAACAAAAAGGTACGTTAATCTTTGTTGACCTTGAATGAAAACCAAGATCGTTATAGGAATCAGTTGGTTTGCAATACAAATCTGAGGATATGTTTTCGCTTGTTACTGCAACAAAAACGTTTAGAATAGGACGCTTATCATCACTAGCTTCCATAGTATGCAATACAAATCTATAGATATATTTCCGTTTGTTAATTCAACCAAAACATTTAAAATGTTAATTCACCCAAAACATCTAGCTGATAGTATTCAGTGCCCATTTATTATGAACTGATAGAAAGTTGAGTACATACCAGATCTATTGCTATTCTACCAGCAGTCGCAATTTTGTTGATCAAGATACTCAGGGGAAACCAACAACTTTCTCTGCTCCTTTCTATGCACATTTCCTGAAATCCATTAAATAAGACGCCTGTCATTAAAATGTGTACAACCATTTATTATTTTTTATTATAATGGGTTAACTTGATTCACCCCTTCATATCTAAACTGGACTTGCCCAGTCATTGATTTGGTAAGGTTCAAATGTTACTGTAGGGGTTAATGAGTTGACAGAAAATACAGAAATTATAAACACTCCGTGAATAAATACACTTGAGTATCACAAACCGCAGCTTATAGAAAAGACTGTGTAATTGAAAAATTGTGAGATGTGTCTCCTTAACAGCATCGTGTGTCTACTTACGTTGGAGGGGTATCTACTCGTCGACTTTAAGTGTGAGGGATGTTTGATTGCTAGCATTACTGATGAGAATGTCTTACCCACAAGCCGGGTTTACGAAGGATACTTACAGCAAGGATCCTAAGTGGTTCTAACTCACCAGCCTAAGCAGCATGGTTTATGAATGGTGTCTACTCGAAATCATTGGTTAAGTGTGGTATACCCACCAGCCTGGCTTATCAGGGTGAAAGGGATGTATCTGCATATCGGCATGAAATGTGAGGATTCACTCCAACATGGCTTGTTATTGGTGTCTAGGAACATGTCCTGTTTGTGAGGGATGTCTACTTACCAGAATCAAGTGTTAGGGTATCTAATCATCAGTTTGTATGTGTGGATGATGTCCTCTCACGTGATGCTTGAAGTATGTAGGTCGAGTACTCACCAGCATGGTGCTAGCAACTTCTGGTGACGATTCATGGTATAGGGCGATATCGTATACAAACATATACTCTAGCCACCTCCTGACATGCCCTGCTCTCATGTCCTGTGTGAATGCACTGATGCATGCGTCCGTCCCGCAAGCTAGAAGACCATCGTGAAGGTAGTCCTGCTCCAGTGTCTGGGAACGTAACACAAAGACCAATATGTAACGTATAAAATATTTTTAAACTATTACTTCCATTAGAAACTCCTTTTCCCCAAGTCTTCGCCCCCGAAGACAATAATATTTGCAACCCAGGTTCTAGTACCCCCTAGTAAAGCGTATACCCAGTACTTGAAACAAGTTGTGGTCACCAACACCACTGTAACAGCATAGGAAAAATGCGAGGTCAGACAGGGATTCCAACTCAGGACCCTCAAAATCTATTCGGAAGCTCTAACCAAATGAGCTTCCTAAGCGCCAGTGATCGACCCAGTTCAGTTCCACTACTTTTGTAACTTAACTTAATCACTCTCTCGTTCTGTTCTTGGAACAGTCATTATTGATACGACCCGATCTCATTACATCCCTGTGTACGTGTATCATCTGAGATGTACTAGACGCGAATTTTGATTTGTTTAAGAGAACAAATCCAGTTTATTTTGACACAAACTTTATAAAATTACACCATAACAGTACTTTCGGTTCATGCGCTTTCCCCGGAACACTTCACTTAACACGTTCAATGATTATCCCTGTCATGTACCTACTCACTTGTAACTTTTTATTGCAGTAGTTTCCTTGGTTTCCATGACAATTCCATACATCTGCCAAAACCTCCAAAATGTCGTTGGTCTGCGCTTGTCGGAGTAACCACAGGAATTCATGGAATAACTTAGGGGTTGTTTCCATGGCGCCGTCGTAAATTGTGAGTTTATGCAGCCAGTGACTGATATCATCTTTAGTCACCAGAATGTTCTCTCCTAGATCATCAAACTCGTACCCAAGGCTGCCTGATTTCTTTCCTCTCATTTTACGGTTAACATTGCTTTCGAGAAGATCTCTTGTTTCTTGTAGGACCAGATGTTGACTGGAAAATTGACACGTTCATCTCAAGGACTTAAACAGTGAAAATGGACAAGCAGTAGATACGATTAACTCAAGAAAAGACAATTATATAACAACTTTGCTTAAAAGATTACTTTAATTTTAGGGAACTTCTTTTAACTCTTTGTGAGCCGGACCTAGTAATCAACTTGTTCATATGGTTATATTCTCAAACATGACACATGACATTACTTTCTTATATATCTGTTTATAAGTTATTCCGATATAATAATGTTTGGTATAATAACAATGTAACTAGTTATGTACTCCTGAAATAATCACATTTACCTTATATTGGCCATGCATGTTGCAACTATAGTTCCCTCACGTGCAAAAGGACGAAACACTTGTTGCTGAAGACATTTTGTTTCTTCAAGTCTGTTTTTATCTTCTAAAGTGTGCTCACATTTTACTGTTGAGTTGAATGGATAAATTAGCTACAAAAGTAAAATAGATATTTTAAATGATATCTGTGTAGCTGAAAACGAAATATATTAATATTCTCTGTGATCTGTTAAAGCTTACCTCATCAATAGGACTGTTCAGAAAGCCACCATACACCTTCTTGATCATGGAGAACAGGTTGTGCTGACGATAACTGTAGTGCGGAATTTGACACCTGGTGATGTCTCTGAAGGTTAATACCTTGCCCGGACTCTCCACTTCGTACTCGGTAGGGCAGGTACCTAACACGTCCACCTACAACAAGACGTGTCAGTCAAACAATTTATATAGATACAGCTTTCCTTAATTATGAAGATAACCTAAAAGCATTGACCAGTGCCCGAATTCATGAAACTGCTCAAGCATGGATTCTGCACTCAAACCTACTTTCTTGCCGCTAGCTTAAGATTGTGTTGCACGGTCTAAAAGTCAAGGTCAAACATCGAAAATGGTATTCAGCCCTAAAACGCACCGAAATTCTTCCAGATCATGGACAATGTATTTTTGATAAATTTATCATCGGAATAAGAAATTGGGCTTGAGCACAAAATTTTGATTTGAGCATGAGAAAGGTTTCATGAATACGGGTCCAGGTCTCTGAGAAATCTTACAGGTAGGAGGAGAATGTTTGGACAGGTAAAAAGACAGTCTTATGGATATTCTTTTTGCAAATTACAGTCCAATTATCGAGAAAAATAAAACTATATGAATCACCTATCTCATTAACCACATTGGTGTCGTATAGAAATGCATCTCGCGTACAAGTTAACAGTTAAACAGATATGGTTGATGTAATTATTTTATTTATAATCGATTTTGTAAAAAGACTATCGCCATGACGTAAAACTAAATAATGACACAATCATGTAACTCGTAGGTTTTACCCAAGGTTTTAACTTAAGGCATCAAAAATATATTCACGCATATTTGATTGGTAAGTGTAGGATTTGTTTTAGTACAGCAATATATTCAACACTTACCTTAATATATATATAGAATACTTTAGAACTAAAACTCATTTCAAAACCTTTCAAAATTATTTTCGGACTGTTTCCTCATTTAGTTTTATATAAGATTATACAATCATATGGTGTCAATTCAGAATAAACTAAACAAAATATCAGACATTTTGTTTTCAACAATGCTTTTTCCATGTCTAAAATAAATGAGATACCATGATCATCAAATTATATTGATAAAAAATCGTAATGTCTTTTCATATAAATTATTGTATATTTTAAACGTTTTAGAATCAGAGAGTTTAACTATAAATATAGTAGCGTCGTCGTAATGTACAACATGTATATGGGTGGAAGTGGGGGTTAGAACCTGGATTTATTAATGAAAACTATTGTGACACATATAATGCAATCAATATCTGTAATAAAAGACCATTGAAATAGCTTTGATTATAAAGATATTACATTTTGACCACTAAAATTTCGGTACTTTAATTAAAGCGATAGCCATCGCACTGGAGCTTCATTAAATGTGTAATATTCACTAATGACGAAATAAAATTATTATGACATCATTCTGTAACGAGACATGCAAGTTTTACGTCAAATCAAATGTGTCAACACAAATGTATCTTGGACGGGACACTAGTAGTCTGCTGACTTTCAGAATATGTAATAAACAGGCAATGCAGTGGTTAGTCGAACGTCTTTTCCCCATTTAGAGGTCTTTATCATGGGTAAGTACAAGAGAAATCATTAACACAGCTGTAGAATATGTGGTCATGGAAGGCGCTTGAATATAATCTGTATTAACATTTTGTAAATCTTGTTTAGGGGACTTTATCATGGCAAATCATTCATACACATTTAATATATATGTGATAATGGGAAGCGCTTGAATATAATCTGTATTAACATTTTGTAAATCTTTATTAGAGGACTTTATCACGGGAAATCAGTCATACAAATGTGATATATATGTGATAATGGGAAGCGCTTGAATATAATCAGTATTAACATATTGTAAATCTTTTTTAATTAAAGGACAAAGTCTGGGGTAACTGACTTACGTTTTCCATGGTGTGATCCTGATCTCCGGGTTCTCCTGCCATGATTTTGATCTGAAGCGCTGACAAAATCCCACGCTTAATGTTAAGAGCATCGTTTGTCTCCTCGCTATCCACGACGATGGTGTGAGGGCGAATAGTGCCGCTGTCAAACTGAAAGTACATCTCCCTGCAATGTCAACGGTTTATAATAGCATACATATTATGTAAACAGATAAACGTTACAGTTAACATAGTCAACAGATCAATATCATAATTTACAATGTTAACAAAATTAATATTACAGTGAAGTTTATATAATGTCAACAGATTAATATCACAATCTAGAATGTCAACAGATAAGTATCCTAATATACAATGTTAACAAGTTAATGTCACTATTTACAATTTCAACAGTTTAATATTACAAGTTATTATGTCAGCAGATTAATATCACAATTTACAATGTTAACAAAATTAATATTACAATGAAGTTTATATTATGTCAACAGATTAATATCACAATCTTGAATGTCAACAAATAAGTATCCCAATATACAATATTAACAGATTAATATTACAACATTATAATGTGAACTGATTGATATCCCAATCTACAATGTCAACAGTTTAATTTCATAATAATTATGTCAGCAGATTATTATCCAAATCCACGATGTCAACACACAGTATCACAATGTAAATTGTCGATGAATGAATCTCACAAAAACAAATGTCAGGAGGCCAATATAACAATTACATAGTAAACAAATGAATATCAAACACAACAATGTCAACAGATGGATATGACAATTTACAATGTCAGCACATCAATATCATAATTAACAATGTCAACAGAAAATATCACAAACAACGATGTGTCATGGTTTGGAGCCAGAGATTGTGAGTTCGATACCCGACCAGAGCACGAGTCAAAAAACCTTCCTTCGTTTTCTGTAAATATATAAATTCTTAAACGGGCAGGAATGGCATAATATTTACCTGCTCAGGAGATGTGTTACGTCTGCTGATAAAGTTGTATCTTTGATATAGACGTCGCCTTCCCCTGGTTGTCTGTGGTATAGTGAACACGACGTGACCTGTAAAGAAAGGTCAAGGTTATAGGTTAAGTCAGCCTACAAAACATAATTTTGAAGCGGTAGGACCGAGTCAAAACAAAAACCACTGGCAACTGTAAACAGACATTTCAAAGTCAACTGGAAACAGACATGTCAATTACACAACTGTAAATTAAGGGACATGGTACAGGTCAACTGTAAACAGACAGGATAAAGGTCATCTTCACACAGACCTGTCGAGGTCAGTTGTAAATAGACAAGGTCAAGCGAAAACAGACATCATAAGGGTCAAAGTTTGCTGTAAAAGGACACGGTCAATGTCAAATGTAAACAGACACGGTCAATGCCAAATGTAAAGAGACAGGGTCAATATAAAATGTAAGCAAACAGGGTAAATGTCAAATTTAAACAGACAGGGTCAATGTCTAATGTAAAGAGACAGGGTCAATGTCAAATGTAAAGAGACAGAGTCAATGTCAAATGTAAAGAGACAGAGTCAATGTCAAATGTAAAGAGAGAGGTAGTAGGTCACGTGTAAAACAGTGAAATATTATGTCATCAAATGTCATGTAAGAATCAACATATCGCATGCTAACAGAAAGGATAAAGCTCCATTTAAACAGGCTTGAGGATACTAACGTTCAGGTAAGCCTCACACTTCCTCCTCGCTTCCACCACTACCTCACAGTCTAGTCTGAAAGCGGATTTGGAGGCCGTAGTCCCCACAAAGGTCGTCTCCACAGTGGTACTGTAGTGGTACAGGTACTNAAATATAACATACATCCTATGTATAAACACATATCTATCTACAAATATAACATACATCCTATGTATAAACACATATCATATCTACAAATTTAACAAACATTCTATGTATAAACACATATCTATCTACAACTATAATATACATCCTATGTATAAACACATATCTATCTACAAATAT